ATACAAACATATGCGTATGTTAGGGAAATTAAAAGGCTCTAAATCCAGGTTAAGGAAATCAGGTATTGGAAGAAAACCAAATTAGTAAAACTAGGTCAAATTTGGGACGTATAACTGTGGCAGCACATATGTAAATTTAGCAACAGCGGAAACTAGCAGCCTCTGTCTCAGGCCTGTACACCAACGCTGTAAGACTGTGCTACAGCTGAAAAAATATTTCTCATTAAAGAAGGGAGAAAGATGTGTTCATGCACACAGGGATTAAGACATACCCACCCACCAATATTAGAAGGCACATTTTTCTTCTGCTCTTAGGAGGCTCCGCTTTGGCTGCAATAGTCAATTTTGCTACATCAGCCAACCCAGCCAGCTGGGAACCCTGACAGTGCTGCACACTGCTCCCGCAGCCTCCCTCCCCCGAGACACACACACACATTCAGAATGGAACAGAGTCATCAGAAAACTGGCCTTTAAAAGAAACCAACCCTGCTGTCTCCTTTCTCCAGCTATGGGGCTCGGGATGGCATTTCAAAATTTCCCCTCAATATGCTCCTAATTTTTTAAGATACTGGGGATTGAACTCAAGACTTTCATAATGAGTTATATCACCAGCCCATGTATGTATGCCTGTAAGTATGTATTTGAGTCAGGGTCTCCCTGTGTAGTCCAGACTGGCCTTGAGTTCACTATATAGACCAAGCTGCCTCAAACTTGCAGCGGTCCTCCTGCCTCAGTGAGTGTTGGGATACCAGTCCTTTATACATTTTTTTTCCTTTTAAATTTTGAGAAGGATTTTTTTTTTTTTTTTGGACTGGCTGCCTTAAGGGCGGGTCTGGTAAGGCAAGTGAAGGTCAGGATCAAACCATGGTATCCTGTGCCTGTGTTTGCATGAGCAGGTGCTTATACAACTGAGCTAACCGGCAGGCCCCCTCTTTTTTAATTTTTTTTTTTTTTTTGGAACCGGGGATTGAACTCAGGCCCTTCTGCTTGCCAGGCAAGTGCTTATTCCACTGAGCCATCTCCCCAGCCCCTACTTTTTAAATTTTGACAAAGGTTGGCTGGGGATATAGCTCAGTGGCATAAGGGCTTGCCTGGCCAAGTGTAAGTTCCCAAATTCAATCCCCGCTACCAAAAACAAACAATTTTTTTTTCTTTTTTTGTATTTTAGGGAAGGGCCTACAGGGTGTTCAGGGTCTCACTACTTGCTCAGACTCAGTGATCCACCTGTTTACAGCCTCCCAAGAGCTGGGATTACAGGCACACACCACCATGCCCAGTCTCAGTCGTCATCTCAGCATGCTCCTGAGGCAGGGCTGGCATGGAGGTCCAGGAATCAAACTCCCGGCCCATGCCTGCCTGCAGGTGTTTTAATCCGCTGAGCTATTTGGCCGGACCTAAACAAATACATTTTGCTAACGAGCCTAAGTCACTAAGTTGCCCAGGGTGGCCTCAGACTCGTGATGCTCCCACCTCAGCCCCACGGAGCACTATCCGTGTGCCTCCCCCACCCAGCTATTATGCTTTTAACAAAGAATATTTCCTCTTTGCATCACACCTTAGTATGAGCTCCCACTGCTTTCTAGCCCACACTGAGCCTTTATCTCAGAGCACTGAGCACTACCCATAATCATATAAAGGACTTCAGCTCAGCCCAAGGCCTCTATCAGAGAGGATGTTGGGGGCTTTGTCATTCCCATGGCTTAGACAGTGTTTCAGGTTTTTAGGGTACTCAAGGAATGTTTGTCAATTCACTGAATGAATAGAAGTGTAGGCTGTTGGCCTACACACTTTTGACTTCCTACCAGTAGCCAGCAAAATCCTAATCCACAAGCAATAAGGTGGATGCACTTCAGAAGCTAACTGGTCCTCGCCACAAGGAAGCCTTGTCTTCCCAGACTGTTGGAAATGCTCCTCACCTGCCTCCAGCAGTCGGCCTGGGGTCCACCTGGCAGCTCCTAACTCTTCTGGTGCTAAGGAGGCAAGTATACTTTAAGACCCTTTCAAAAGGTTTATTATATGCTTTGCCCTAGGCTGCACTAATTAGGACTCCAATTACGAAGTGGAAGCTCTGCCAGAACCAGGGCAGTCACAGCCAGGAAAACTCCAGCTTTGTTGGAGAGCTTCTCCCGGTATGTTTCTCCTAATCTCAATATGCCTTCAGTTCAGTTTCATTCATTGGCTGAGATATTTTTTTTTCTTCTTCATTCTTTTTGGTACTGGGGCAGCCCCCACCACCCTTTTAAAATTTCAGTCAGGTTCTTTTTTTTTTTTTTTTTCTAAATGTTCTTTTTTTCCCGTATTTTAGGGAAGGGTCTACAGGGTGTTCAGGATCTCACTACTTGATCGGACTCATAGTGATCCACCTGTTTACAGCCTCCCCAGTGCTGGGATTACAGGCATGTGTCACCCACCATGGCTGGTTTTGGTGGCTGGCACGGCACACATGGGTTCTGGGGATTGAACCCAGGTCCTTGTGCTTGCTAGGCAGGCAGCCTGAGACAGGTTATTACTGAATTGCTAAGCTGCCCAGGCTGGTCTTGAACTTTTGGTCCTCCTGCCTCAGCCTCCCAGAGTGCTGAGATTTCCGGCCAGTGCTACCAGCCTCACTTTGGCCTAGCCCCTTGCTCCTTCACTCTGTTCTTACTTCCAGCTTACAAAGAGTTGGCCTTGTATCTTATTTCCTAAGCACCAAAATATATTCCCCGGAGTCTATCTATCACCTTGACAATCATGCCTTCAGTGATTCTTATAACACTTTACTAAACTATTAGGCAAAAACACCCTTGTTAGAATTTCCTGACATTGCAAAAGGACCAAGAGTCTTCTCACTTGGTTGGATGGGAACATGAGTTCCTGAGTGTACTGGCCCCACTCAGTGTGTCAGTACATACCCAGAGAGAGCTGGTCCTCCTGAGCCACCACCCTGTTAAACTATACATCTGAATTGTAAAAACTTAAAAAACAAAACAAACAAACAACCAAAAAAACCCAACAACAACAAAAACCTATCAATCCCTGAGCTGTAGCCACAGATCACAGGTGTCTGTCACTGCTAAGATGACAATGGGGAGACTGACCTTGGGGGAGGGGTTATGGTTCTACAAATTGTCACACAATATTTAAGGACTTAACCCTTCCCCATCCCAGCAAAAAAAGAAAAAAAAAAAAGAAAGAAAGAAAGAAAAGAAATCAGATCAGATTTTCAATGTGGCCCAGATCCCTTGGCTTTCCTTCTGTCCTAATTGGGGATATTCATTATAGAAATGTTATTTGTAGGATACTTTAAACCAGGATCTAGAAAACAATGAGAATGATGTCAGCACTTCCCATTTCTTCAGTTTTATCTTCAGGCAGTCACTGCTAACTCTGGGAATGAATTAGCACCATTTTCTGCCATTTTCATCCTAGGACCAGTGTCGCTAGCTAGACCATCAGTGTTATCTCTCTGCTTTCCTTTACTTCTCCCTGGACACTAGAGTAGGATCCTTCCTCTTCCTAACAGCATTTTCAGAAATCTGTTACTTCCCTCTACTCTACAGTGTAAATGCTCCTAGACCTTGTTCCTTCTGTTCACAGAGTACCTGTGGTAGTCTCAAGTTCCATCTCATCTCATGACCCCCAAGCTTTCCCTGTCTGGGTTCTAAATCATTATTCCAAAAGCTGATGAACGTCCGCTTCATCCTCACAACATACAAGTGAGGTAGATCAGAACACATAAAAACAGAGTAGAAAAATGGTTCCACGCTGTGTCTAAGGAGACCTGGATCTTTATTTCTGGTCTGCCATGATCATAACTAATATCAAGCAATGCTGAAAACAGCAAACCCCATATGGCACTGGATAAGTTACTACACCTCTCTTTGCTTCTGTTCTCCCATCTGGCATACAAGAACAATACTGCTTGTTTATTGGTTCCTAAAGCTTTGAGAACAAGGAAAGCTTTCCCTGCTAAAAAAAAAAAAAAAAAGTACCAAAAGCCAGGTAAGATATATTAACAAAAACAAAAACCAGTGATCTAAGACCAGTATCAGATGTTAATCATGCCACTAATCGAAATTCCCTCAAAGGGGGTTGGTGGTGTTACTAAATAACTAGAAATCTGGGCTAGAACTGTGGCTGTAAAGTAGCTCTGGCATGACCACATTTTGTGTCAGTACCAAGGGTAGCATTACAGTTTATACAGAGCCCCCTTCTCTCAATTTAGAAAGTTTATCGGATGCTAACACCAGGATCTACAGTAGTCATGGCAACAAGGAGCTTAAAGGTACAAGTGAATACACTTAAGAAGGGCTCCAGATCCCCACACCTTTGGAAAAGTTTCACTCTACCGGGATAACCTATTTGCTCTAATCTCCCTTAGATTTCATAAGCAGCCTATCCTGAGGCTAGCATTCCAAAGCCCTGCAAGATAAGGCTCTGCACCTGAACCCTGGACGCACACCACTATCTCTAGCGGTGAACCTGGGTTAACTCACCTGTTTTCAATTGGCTTCTGCAGCTCACACTCCAGGAGGATGCCAGAAAGAAAGATCTTTCTCTTTTTTTGAACCCAGCTTTCCCTACTCTTTCCTTTTCGCTTTCCACCTACATGAAGTTCCCTTTAAAGGTGTATGTCATTTTTGGGCCCTTTAAGTCCCTACCCCCTTCGCCCCCTTCCCCCTCCACCCGAGTTGCCTTCAATTCCCACACTTTCTCTCTCCCACCTGCAGTTCCCTTCGCCTCCTTCGGGGAGTTTCTCCCAGGCTCTCAGGGCGTCCTTCCTCTGCCCCCACCCTTTCCTCCGCAACGCGACTCCAGCCTGGTCTCGCCCCTGCGTCTCCCTCCCCTCCTCACCGCCCCTCTGCGGCAAGTGACTCTCGCTGGGCGACCCTATCTCGTTCCGCTTCTGGCCCGATCCCGGCCTCCTCGATCGCACCGGCCCCCGCGATCCCCCACGCCGGCTCTCCACCCTTCCTTCCCGGTCCTCCCCCCTCGCCCTCCCCCAGGGCCGATCCACTCACAGGAGGCCGGAGCAGGTGGTGCAGACGAAGCTGCCCACGGTGATATCCACGTAGGTGACCCCGCGCTGGGCGCACTCGAAACAGTGGCGGTTCCCGGCCTGGCTGCAGCCGCCCAGCTCCCGTACCCGGCGGCACCACACCTCCGAGGCCGCCTCCGCCTCCGCCTTTCCCCCGCCACCAGGGCCTGGACCCTTTTTGGCCGCCATCACCATCGTTGCCCACACCCTCCGACCTCCTCCCGGTTAGAACCCCAACCGCTCCTTCAACCACTGCCGCCTTCCCGCCTCCGCCGCCTTCGCACGCCGGGCAACCCTGACAGAAAAGCTCCGAAGCCGGCGGCGTCGGCTCCAGACTCAGCCGCCCCTGCCTCGCCTGTCCTGGACGCCGATTGGCTAGCCTTCTCCCACCTCCTCGCTCTTATTGGTCTGCCCCGGGGCCGCCTCCGGTAGCAGGAACCACCAAGGCCACGCCCCACTGCCTTCGGGCCTCAGGGCTCTTCCATTGGCCCAAAGAGACCCGGGCTGTGCGTGCCCTCTCTCTGTCCCCGCCCCCTCTCGCCACTGTTTCCGCTGAGGCCCGCCTCCCAGTTTCGATTGGCGACTTCTGGGCACTCGCGCTCCTATTTTCAGTCTGATTGGCTGTCGAGGTTGCAAAGTTAGAGCGCGAGATAGAGGCGGGGTCCTGCGCGTGGGCAACTCCAGTCTTACAAGACTGAAAATAATTCCCGCCAAATTTCAAAGCCTTGCTCTAGGCTGCGCAGTGACACACACAGAAGAAAAGTGACCATTCAAAGGGCTGAGTGTGAGAAGGGAAAGGAGGAAGGGTTTTCGTTTTTAATGCCATTTCATTTTTTCCTATCCTAAGTCATACATGGAATCTTCATTTTACAATCAGGCTAAACACCTTGCAGCGAACCCCACAGCTGGGTGCATGACCCGTTTTGTCTTTTGACTTTAGAAAACCCTGCTTTTAATCACTACCTTTGGTGGAATTATTCATTTGACAAACACGTGAGTGCTAGATTTTGGACACATTTTAGACACTGGGACTACAAGAGCAGTGAACCAACCAAAACAAACTGCCCTTGTGGCGCTTCCTTTCTGGAGGGTAGGAAGACACAAGACAATGAAAAATTCATCAGTTAGTAATAAATTCTTTACGCAGAATTAAAGTAAGGTCTTGGAAAAACAAGAATGAATGATTTGATATCTTAGAGTGGCTTGATCAGGGAACCCATCTCAAACATTTGACATTTAAACTGAGGTCGAGATAACAAAAGGAGTCAGGAGATCTGTGGGGGAGCAGCACAGACAGTTGGAAAAGCCTCAGGACACCCTAAAGCAAGAAGCTTCCTGTGTTGAAGTGAGGATTTTCTTGGACTGGGACTGTGTCATGTAGAACCTTCCAGACTCCAGTAAGGAGTCTGGATTTTCTAAGTGTGACGGGAAGTTAGGTAGTTAGAACTTAGTTTCCCAGTACAGGGGGAAACCTCAAATTGTGTGCAAGGCCCATGCCTCTTCAGTTGCATGCTTCTACGGTGCATCATATCCACTCCCAGGTTTGCCCTGTGTTCTAATGTAGCTGCAGCCGTCATGCTGGGAAAGCCCTGCTGGTTTTAAGGACATGTCAGGAAATTGCACACAACCTCACTGCTCCTCATTTCATTGGCCAGAGCTTTGTCATATGACCACACCTGAGTTCAAAGACTCTGGAAAATTTAGTTTTTATTCTAGCCTTCCCTGTGCTTGCCTCAAGTCCAGAGATTTTATTTACAAGGAGAGAAGAGATATAAGGATAAAAAACACAGTCACTGCCACAGATATTATTAGGAAAGTTGTAGCAGGGGTAAGATTTGCTATGATTTTCTATTTAAATAAAGATCATTCTGTCCCCTGTAGGAAAAATGGTCATGGATAAGATGGAAGGAAGGATTATGGTAAAGTTGGAAGAAGTGATGTCAGCAGTCCAGGTAAGCGTGGATGGTAGTGGTACTGACGAGAGGGGTAGAAGGAACTTGGAATGGACTGATTCGGAGAATGTCTTGGAGGTAAGATCCTCAGGATTTGGTGGATTAGTTGTGGGAGGCGATAAATAGAAGAACTGATGCGTACTTTGTGTTGATGGAAGTGTTCTATCTCCGACTTCCAATATGGTAGCTACTAGTTATAGTTAAAGACTTGAAATGTGGCCAGAAAAGCTAAGAGGCCAAAATAATAATAGTAATAATAATAATAGTACTATTATTAATAATAGTACTATTATTAATAATACTATTAGTAATAATAGTAATTATTATTATGAGAATTGAACCTAGGGCCTCACACATTAGGCAAATGCTCTATCTCTGAGCGATGTCCCCAGCCCTATTTAATTAAAATGTATGTTTAGGTACTTACGGATCACTAGTGGTTACTATATTGGAGAGGGGAATTCTATGGCAGAAGAATTTTTTGTTGTTGTTGTTGTTGTTGGCGGCATTAGGATGCCTTCAGGGCATTTCTGGTTTGACGTGAGTGAAGAGGGGAATTCTAGATTTTTCTTGTTTTCAGCAGCTGAGAGGCTTATGGTGCCATTTTTGGAAGAACTTAGACTGGAGGAAGAGCACTCTAGGAGTTACTAATAGTCAGGAGTCAGGATTGCTTGCTTGGTGTGTTAATTTGAGATCCTGTGAGGCCTCCAAGGGTTGATCAAGTAGGCAGGTAGATGTATAGTCTGGATTTCAAGCTGAAACTAGAGCTGGAAATACAGGTTTGAAAGCCACCAACATATAGGAATTATGTAGTTCTGTGAGAGGGTGCTTAGGTACCGAGTAGGCAGAGCATAGCAGGGAGCCCTGGGTGTCCCCATATGTACTCAGTTATTACAGCCACTAATGTGCTTCAGTGTCCTTAAAAGTAGGTGACATGAGTCATATTCAGATACACAGAAGGGACATCTCAGCCCACTGTTGACATTCTCTCTGAATTTTTTCAAAGTTCACAGTTTGCAAGAGTTCCCATTCATCTTCTAGTTTCTCATTAACCAAGGGTTATTTCTCCCCATCTTGAAACCGTCAACAACTTGGTAAATTGAGCTACGACCTACAGTGAGTAAAAAAAAAAATTAGAACATTCACTAGATTCTGAGAATTTTCTCTTAGTTTTGGCATTGGGTGTGTTCTTCGAGGGCAACCGAGGAGACCCTCCTCCTCCCATGTCTACTCCACCAGGCCATATCAGGGAGTAACAACCCCATTTCCTCTTCATAATCAAGGGGCACAAGCCAGCATGGGGCATGTTCTTCTGCCCTTGCCCCAGTGGCAGGAGGAGTCCGGATGAGGAGTCCCTGGGGCAGTGAGGTCTATAGAGCCAAAGGAACACAGAGAATGGAAAGCAAGTATTTTTAAAGAGAACAGGAACTGAGAAAGCTGCTGCCCTCCGCCCTGGGCTTGCTTCCTGGACCTCCATCTGGGCTGAGGAAGAGTTGGCTTTTCTTTTCAGTCATTGTTTGGATCACGTATCGCTATCAGCAAGAAAGCATCCCAGCCTTGCAGGTGTGGCCTCCTGGCCGCTGCTAGATCAGTTTTCATGAGATCATTTCATTGTTCTATAAGGCCAGCTGCTTCTGGTGGGTAGGAAACATGATAATGGCTGTGGCTGGCCGACTGTCTTCTTTATTTCACTGAGAAGGGAGTTTCTTTTCTTTTTTCTTTCTTTCTTTTTTCTTGCAGAACCGGGTATTGAACTCAGGCCCTTGAGCTTGCCAGGCAAGTGCTTATTCTACTGAGCTATCTCCCAGCCCCATGAGAAGGGAGTTTCTTGTTTGGAGATAATTTTGTCTGGACCACCCTGTGTTATGCGAAGATAAGAATTCCAGGGATGATGAAGTAGTCCACTTACAGGGAAAGAAACCCCAAATACAGAATAGCTGTTCCTTCCAGAGTAAATCAACCACCTCAGGGACCTGATAGAGTGGACCTGTCCCTGGATCCCTGGATCTCTTGTATCCTCCCTCCCTCCTTTTCTTCCTCTTTCCTTCCCTCCCTTCCTCCCTCCCTTCTTTCCTCTCTCTCTTCCTTCCTCTCTCCCTCTCTTCTTCCTTCCATGGTTCTAGGGAATAAACCCAGAGCCTTGTGCTTAGTTACATCTTCATCTTTTTGAAATGTATTTTATGACAAGTTCTCACTAAATCACTAAGTTACCTAGGCCGTGCTTGAACTTGCAGTCCTCTTACCTCAGCTTTCCAGATAGGTGCCACCATACCCAGCTTGCTACTGGATTTCTTTCTTTCTTTAAGACAGGATCCTGGGCTGGGGAGATGGCTCCACTAAATAAGAATGGCAGAATAAGTGCTTGTCTGGCAAGCACAAGGGCCTGAGTTCAATCCCTGGTTCAAAAAAAAAAAAAAAAAAAAGACAGGATCTTGCATGCAATTCAGGCTGGTAGTGAGCTCACTTTGTAGCCCAGGCTGGGCTTGAACTTGCAAGGATCCTCATGCCTCAGCCTCCCCTGTGCTGGGATTATACGTGTGTGCCACTGCGCCCAACTCTGGATTTTTGAAAAGTTCCCAAGAAGCCTGGTGATCTATGATAACCAGAATTCCGGTGAATTTATTTATTACTTATGATACTTTTTAATGTTGATTTTCTTCATTTTCCAGGTAGAATCACGTTATCTTCAAATGATGATAGTTTTAGCTTTTCAATTTTTTCTATATTCAATTACTTTCTTTTGTCTAATTAAATTATCTGAACACCAGAATAGTTGAAATAACAGTGGGTATGCTTTCTCATTGTCTCCTTTAGTGGGAGAGTATCTTTGTTTCCTCATAAAGCTCAATGCTGACTTTTGGTTTGACTTAAATATATTATTATCATATTAAAGAAACATCCATTTATTCTCAGGTTATTAGTTCTTCTGGTTTTCATTTTTGTTTTTCACCTTATTGTCTGATTGTATCTATGAATTTATTTATTCTGCCTGTCTTTTGGGGAGCATGGGAGATTGAACCCAGAGAGTTTGCACCGAGCCACATTTCCA